ACATTCCCCTAGATTCCACGAAGGGACTTCAACGTACTGCCCGGAAGATCGAAGAAAAGGTATACACGTTTATCATAGCATGGTGGGAACTATCTATGCTGTTCCAGCCCCATCTAAAGGTGTGATTATTATATGGGTGATACTGCCCTTCTTCAAAGGCGAACGAAATACAAAGGAGATTTTTTGTACATTATTTCATTTAACATGGTCTCTGACTTGGATCTTGGTCGACGATTAGAGTGATTAACGGCAACTGCGAGGCGGCGGGGAATGGCTTGTGGCGCATGAGCACTGTGTGTTACTGGAAATATTTATTCCTTGTCTATATATCAAGCTTTCAGTGCCTAGCTTTCACAAATTCGCGGAAGCTCTTACCATCCACAGTAAACCTTACCTGTGTACCGTTCTGCGCTCTCGTAATGGAAAATTCGGACATCCCAAATTGCAAGAGGATAGTCATCATATTCTGGTGATGCATCTTGAGCAGAGCCGACTGAAGATCCTTCGTCCGATGGAGCTGGGAAGAGGGCGGGGCGTTCATACGGGGCCCCTTGGAGTCATAAGCCTAAGGGATGGTCAGGTCTCATACTCCTCAGCTGCGGGCACAACCGCAAAAGCCTGACTGAGAGAGGGCGTGAACCTGCCTCTGTACTTAATGGTCCATTCGGAAGGTCGACAATGGATCATGGCGAAAGTGTCATCGAAGAGATTTATTACGTCAACACGAATTTCCACGATGCAGATTTCTCCGCAAGTTCTCATATCACTTCGCAGAGATACATCTGGTTCTGATGAATGTCTGTCTGTCTTTGACAGTAGTGAAGGAGAGAGGAAGGCTATTCGCTCGAGAGGGAGAGAGAGCAAGAGATACGAGGCGATAGTTGGGAAGGCTCAGGTGCGCATTGCTGACACGGAATTCTGACCACATAACCAAGCAATTCCGGGGGGAAGCCGGACATGGAGAAGAAGTGATGGATGAGGGAACGATGCTCTGAGTAGCCTGCCGTTTCCGCTGTCGCTGATCTTCAAGACTATGTTGCGCGAACGTAGTGCATTCTTTTGGATGGCGGATGTAGCAGATTCTGGAAGTTCTGCCAGAAAGCGAAAAGGCAACAGATCTTCGATGGCTATGCGCCCGCTCATCATGGCAGTTCTACGGAGAGCTTGGATTAGGGTCCATGATAACATAGCGACACACTCACGACTGGTCAGAGAGAAAATTGTGGACACCTTCTTGATGATGAGGACTGGAGTGAGCAGTAGTAATTCAATATTCAGGTGTAAAAAAAAAACACTGAACAATGAACACACTTACGTCTGGATAGGTACTGACTAGTGTTTAGTGCCGCGGCGGTGCGATCTCAGCATTGAAGTTTAGAATGGACAGCCTACGTTCAGAGACTTTGCATGGGAAGCTATTGCTCAGTCGTGGCGGTGGGAGCACTTAACCATCACTCCTAATCACGAAGTTATTCCTTTTTTTATCCAACATTCTTGGCTGTCAGCTTAACAAACTGTCTCACCTGACAGTCCATTGTCATGAATTGGGGACACCTCATCATATCGATGCATTCCATACTGTTGAGCTTCATACCAACTGTGCGGGCATCCAGTTCGAACTGCCATGGAATAATATCGTCGCATTCTTCGACTATATGTTTTGGGGGGGGTTCTCAACATGTATGTCGTGTTATTGATATGATTCAGCGGTGCCCAAACCCTATAGACACTTCATACGCAATTGATATGCTTTCCACCCTCCATAGCGGTTAGCCTTACCCCTCCGTTTCGATCAAGTTCGCGCGATCTCACGGCATGTGAAGGCCCTATATTTCGGAGCGTAATCTTGCTCCACTTAGAGAAAATACGCGTTGTTCCTAGCAAGGATGAATTTTGTCCTGATGATGCTCTTCCGGTTCTTCTGGGCCTCGTCCAACGCTCGCAATGTCCTCTCGTATCACTCGAGCTCATCGATGTCATCTTCACTGACATTATTTTTTGACATTCTCCATTGCAACCCCACACATCAACACTCTCAAACTTTCCAAAATGCAAAGCTGGGCCACCGGCTACGATCGCATATTCAAAGCCCTCGTTGACCTCTTGGCTTCCCATCCCTCTACTCGGCAAAGCTCTCTTCCTCTCTTCGCGAATCTTCATATCAGTGCTATCAAAAAAGCCCTGTTCTTTCGTTGATCATGGTATCTTTGAGATGGAACACTAGGATCCTGTCAGCCGTCACCCTGGATATATCTGAGTCAGGGAAGAACTTGAGTTGGGGGTTGACAAAGAGTTTTGCAAGTACCAAAAAGATGGACTGGATATCAAACTTAGCATCTTACATCGTGATCGCGAAGCTAAAGCCCTATGCCCTATAAGAAAGAGATACGTCTAAATTTTAAAGATCATTCGTCCGTACCTAGTTGCCTAGGCGTTCCGCTATCTCAACGTGCATCTGAGCGATCGATCGTGCCGAAAGTGATCGAAAGTGTTTCTCCCGCCGTGAGAAGAACGCACTCCTAGTAGTAAAGTGATGCGCAGTGGACCTGCAGGAATGAGGTCATCAATAGCATGATTTGGGACAGTCAACATCTCGGGAAGTTATGTTATGTCACCCTTGAAACCCGAGAGATGTCGATGTCTGTTGGGCGGGTTGGTTATGATGCATTGGTCCATTGCAAGGATGTGAAAAATGATGGTAGATTGTTACGCCCCACGCGAGACTCGAACTCACAACCTCAGAAGAATTGGAATCTATTTTCTGCAGCAAGGAATGACGCCTCCTAAAGCAGTCATTCATCACACAGAAACTACATATCTCTGATGCTCTATCCTGTTGAGCTAGAGGGGCACAGAAGTGGATGAATGGACATGATGTTTGTGGATATTTTAGGATCATGGAAGAAGGAAAGATGACATGGAAAAAGCTGTGGAGGCCGCATGACAAGCCTGCAACAAAGTGCCAGCCCGACCTATTTTGAATGTTGTGAATCTTTTATCATTCCACAAGGCTTCTGCTATGTTGCCAAGGAAAGAAGCCTGTCTCTGCAATCTACTGGCAGCAGGGAATGGGTGGCAAGAGAATGTGATACAAATGTGAAGTTGAGATCAACTGTTGATAGATGTGCCATGAGGAACCACCTACAAAGCACTGACTGATGTTTCCATCTGCTCCTGAATGTCAGCAGAGACAGTCAAGCACATCGCTAGAGGCCTATACTGAAAATGACCAGGTTCCATACCTCATAAACTTTGCACACATGGGCAATTGTTCATGCCAAAGAACATTGTAGATACTAAGTATCTCAGTCCTGGCATGAGAAGAGCATGCAGTGCTCCTGGAAGGATAAAGTCATCATGCATGTTTGGAACAAATATCTGCAGAAGGAGGGAAGCTACCTTTATGAAAGCAATGCACAGTAGTCCTGGATGAATAAGATCATTAATAGTATGCTTCAGCAGGGGGAGTCAAAGTGTCAGGAAGTTATGTTAATTTGCCATTGAAACCTGATGAGGTTTGGTATTTTAATACTGCCAGATGAAAGATGCATTTGAAGATTGTGAAAAATTGATGCAGTATGTGTCCTATATATATATAGGACTATTGAAAAAAGTCACCCAGTACGAGGCTCGAACCCACATCTTCAGAAGTGGTGAATGCTCCCTCATAGAAAGACCGATTCCAACAGCAACCAATCGTCCGATGAGGAAGAACCCCCATTTCTGCCGCTCTATCCTGTTGAGCTAAATGGGCATGAAAGAAAAAGAATGGACCCGAGTGTTATAGATGTACTGTAATCACGGAAAAAGGAAGGACAGCATGGGAAAAGATGTTGATCCCTCATGCCGAGCCATGCAGTCTGACCTATTTTAAACATTGTGAATCTTTTATTACTCCAAATGCCCACATCTGTCCTTGCAATCTATTAGCAGCAGGGAATGTGTGAGTAAATGTGCCATAAACTCAAGTAGGCATCAACCATATAAACTATACATGATGAGAAATTACTTACTTATGAAAGGCTGACATTTCCACCATACTCCTAGCGAGGTAGATAGTTGAGCGCATCACCAAGGGGCACTGAAAACAACTGGGCCTGCCCAAGAACCTGACGTTTCATTATCTCTGCATGCTTGGATGACCAATCATTCCGAAGAGCATTGAAGAAAAGTACCCTTCTCCTGGCCGAGAACTGCATGCCATATGTGCTATGCAGTGCTCCAGGTGGGAAAGCTAAGAAACTATGTTTATGCTGCCCTCGAAGCCCGAGAGGTAGATGCGCTACGGTCAGCGCTAATAGTTATACATGCCTTCTCTTTCTACAAAGATGACTACTACTACGGATCTACATCGGCATACAGTAACAAAGGTGATGAAGTATCTTATGAAATGCTTCCTTCAAGTCTATTCCATCAGTTTCATGACGTCAGTGTGTTTTTTTTTTTCTGACGCCATTCATTAGAGCTTTACCTATACAACGCCGATCATTATCTTGGACAGTGAAGTCGGCAAAAGCGGTAGCTTGGCTGCTGCTACCATCGGTCTAGGCGCATCAGTTCTGGAATTTATCAAAGGAGGGGATGACGCTGCAATCTGTGTGTGTGTCTTCGACTATTATCGAACTATTTGGGATTTAATCCGTATTTTTTTGCCCATTCTCGAGTAGACATATTGAAACATTCCCCTAGATTCCACGAAGGGACTTCAACGTACTGCCCGGAAGATCGAAGAAAAGGTATACACGTTTATCATAGCATGGTGGGAACTATCTCCGCTGTTCCGGCCCCCATCTCTCTGCAAGAGCCGATGCCCCCCCCAGAACAGCCTACTTTTTGTCAAGAATTTCAGGGGGGAACACACACATGACGATCCTTCTTTTCCAGAAGGCTCCTTCGCTCATACAAGATACAGTTCTGCATTGATGGTTTCGACGTGTTGACCCATCTTTTTGGCGTTCACGCGCTCTCTATTTTCGAACAGGATAACTTTCCAGCGAAAAGCTCTCAGAGATCCAACATCATTCTAAACGAGTATTACACAGGGCTCAAATTACAACTTTGAGCTGAACTCGTCGCGCCCTTTGGATGCCGCACGTCGGGTGGAACGAAACGAGGTATCTTAACCATTCAGACAAGCCCAACTGTGAAGTCCTTGGTTTGACCATAGTTGCATTGGATGATGTTTACCCGCCCCATGCGTATATAGTAAAGAATGTTAACGACGAACATCGCATTGGAATCTTTATCTGTTCGTATTCTGATCGAACGTAGGCGAAAATGTCAACAAGGGAGAAGAGCTCTTTCCAGACTATGGACACAGATACTGGCAGCAGGTGAGCCCTTAAAGTGCACTGAGCGACAAAGCCAGATTGAAAGCATGTACTAGTATGGAAATAGCGCCCCAGAGCTGGGGGGGTGGAAAACAGGCAAGACGAAGAACAGATGTACCAGAGGAAGACGACCCAGATCTACGGTACTCATCGACAGAAGATTACCCTGAAATTAGGAAGCGAATATACATACAGAAATCCGAATCTAATCCGTGTCTAATCTCCAAAAAAAGAAATAATCTACCGATCTACCATTCAAAGCCCTCGGAAAAAATACCAGAGAAATTATGTTCGGTGTCCGAACCGGTCACCTTTTCAACTTGGTACGAAGAAAGCAGGGACTCGAAGGACAAACCTACATAGAGGTCAGTCCGTTTAGAATATGTAGAATAAACGAAGGCGTAACTGGTCGATCCGGGTAGTGCCAATGGCTGTACTTGTGGGATACCATCAATGAGAGCGGCGTTGTCTCGAGGACTATTGCCTATTGTAGAAATGATTAGATCAAGCTCAATAATCGAAGGAAAAGAAAAAACGACAGACTACTGGGCGACGACAAGTCCTTCACATGAGTAAATCTCCGCAGAAGACCAGCATCCGGGAGGGAAAAAACATTATTAGCCTTATCCGATGTGATCAAAAAATCAGCCTTTGACCGTCCACCGCCGCTGGCCCGCTGTTCCAATACCTATAGGACATAAGCCGCAGTTCGCCTACGAAAGAAACACAGACATACACTAATGACATATGCGAGTCCATTCCAATACACCTCCATCCTCTTCAAGGCTTTCAACAGCGCAGACAAATTCTGCTTGGCTAAGCCGTTAAGAAACTCGGAGTGTACACCGACCGTTAGATCTTCCGACTGTGCATCGTGTATGAATGCGACGCCAGCAATAAAAATGCATTGATGAAGGAACGGGTTGGCACAGTAGGACGGCGCATCAAGTACATCCGCAAAAACAAGACATTCGGCGATCTGTCGTGAAGATGCCAAAGATATCTTTGTGGACCGCTTAACACCGGACGAGATGGGTGTCTCTTGACCGCTGGGGCTATGTCCCAAATTGGGGTGATGTATCAGCGCCAGAACAGCATTCGCCCAAAGGTGTAAAAAGAGAAAGCTGCCCTGCAAGCCGTTCGCCCGTCAGTATCAAAGCAATTGCAGAAAATATTGCGACGAACACCCTGGTGTTGAGCAGATTGTGCTCGAAAATTGTCAACCGACCAGCTAAAACGTATATGATCAGTTGAGGTTGTAAACTGCAATCTTGGACATACCTCAGACCTGGCGGCAAGGTTCCAAGGAACTCGACCAGTTGGTCCTGCAACTCCTGCAAGCTTTCGAGGCTATGGACGACAGGGTTTGATACGGATGTGCGAGGGCACCCTCGACTCCCGTTCTAGATGGATGGGGTAATATGGCCGCTGAGAGAAACTATGTTCGGAACAAGAACAAAAACTCGTACCATCACGTCAGCTATCCGTCCGGCCAGAGCGAATAGCCTAATAATTCTGACGAACGGGGATAGGACCGGAGGCGCTGAGGAGCTATGAGGGATGAAATCACTCTCTGTGGGCAGCGGGATCTCAATGATATTCTCATTAATCGTTACGGAGCGACCAGTTCCAAACGACAGGACGCGATCCTAGAAAGGGACGATTGGGCAGTGAGTAAAGAACGTTCGAAACTATGAACGAATGTCTACCATTACGAAAAGACACCAGAACAATATCTTCTCGTCGCACACATCGTCGTCATCCGGTGATCCAATGTTGATCTATGAAAAACGTCAATCATACGAAGCAATCGATAGTATAAATCCCAACCTTATGAAGTCCTATATCTACGGCCATTCTAATGGCCAGTCCCGAAAAGTTCTGCACACTCGAAGTGTCACAAAAATCATCACACCGGTATTCAGTCTCGACTGACCCAGAGACCACTCTCAGAGCTCTGAATTCAAACGAGATTAGCCCAAAGATGAAAAGCAGCATTCATGTCAAATGCACTCGCCTCGCCGAACTCAGCCCATGAGAGCAATATCAAGCCGCCCACGACATCGGTTGACGGTAATCGTAGAAGTGGCGGTACTAGGCCCCAGGCAGCCTCGATGTACTGGGATGGTTTACGCGTAGGATGAGGCGCAAATCGGACGGCCAACGCGTTCATTGCATGCAGCAGGAACGTTGACATTGTCCCACTGCATTATTTAGTACGACGGGAGCATAAAGTAAAATATTGGGAGTATGATTCTCACCTCTTGATGCGTTCCTCTACTCTTTCTCTCCGAAGGAAAGGCCAATGCTGCCAGAAATAGTAGAAAAACGTATTAATTAGTGAGACATCTGGGGATAAAGAGGACATGTCTTCGAGTATAGGCTCCGCGGGAGAAAGATGGTCCGGCGAGTTCGAGTGTGACCCCGCTGCCGAGCTATGGAGCTTGATGAAAATCTCATTGAATCCTGGATGTATTGCCGTACACCCAGACTGCGGCATTGTCGTCGTTAGAATCACGTAAGAAAAAAATTTCAAGGACATACAAAGCGAAACTAGATCCGAGGACGTGAGTGACATGGCAAAATAGAGGAGGGTAGAGGACATACATAGCAAACTTTGAGCGTTTTGCTCTCTCCAAGATCGCCTTCGAGGTATGCCATTGGACGGCTTAGGGCCTCTACCATCTTTCCTGCGTCTGGATGCACTTGAGGAGTGGTCGGAGGCGACATAGAGCCATAAATGTCCGGTTTATGTTTCGGGAGTAATGGGTGCGAGAAGTCCTGTCCGTGCTGCTGCCCCGATGGCGGAAGGCAGGGCTGAGAGAACATCGGAGGCGCCGATGTGAAGGGCATAGGTCCATACTGTGTTTGCTGAACCACATTGCTATGTTGCTGCTGCAGGAATTAGCTGCCCAGCAAATATAAAAAACTGAACGAGCTACTCACCATCGGTAATTGCTCGAAGCTCCTGTCATTATATGCGCCCCGCGACCATTTGAGGGACGGATCCTCCCATTCAGCCTCCTCCATCTCTTTCCGAGTGCGCTTTCGCCGTCGCTCGCTCGGCCTGACGCATTCTACACTGGCTTTGGCGCATCGGCCGCACACGGGCTGGATGTTGTCGCATTTCGCTTTCTTTACTCTGCATGGAAGACAAGCAAGGAATCGCGGTTGTGGCTGGTGCGTCTCTGCTGGGTACGATGGTCCATTGACCGACTGCGAGGAAGGGCTGTCCTTGGACGTTACGACGATAGCGGCCCCTTCCTTCGGAGACGGTTCCCATAGATTGTGGAGATGGTCGAAAGGAGCATCCAGCAGGGTAGGCACGTCAGTCACTATCAAAAATGTGATCAGCCACGGAACAGGGCCAAAGGTTAGCAGTGACACGTGCTGAAAGCCGGACGGCCACTCAGAGCAAATAGCTGAGTCATCGTAGGGTCTTGTAAAATGGGCGCGACCGCTGACGTAAGCTGGGTAGCGATATCATCAGTAAAAGCCATTGTTGTGAAAATCTACAAAGGGAGAGGGAAACAAAAAATACTGGAGCAAGACGGTTGACAATCCCTCTATTTAACGCCTGTTAATTTGTGGCTTCTGTAGGCAACATGGGGCCGGCGCCGTGATGGCAAAGTGAAGACATCATAATAGCCAGCCTGTTTCCTCGCGCCTCGTGTTCAGTGGACATTGGGAGCGGCATAACATGTGGGCGACTATGCTACAAAGCGTGACATTTTACAAAAAGCCCTATCTACTCCTGCATATGGAAGTAAATGCCAAATCTGGCACTGAGGGATTGTAGATAATGTTATTCTGCATAAATGGGTGATTTCCCGCAGCATTTAGAAACACAGATTATTTTCTAAATCCATCAAAGTCCCAATTTGAAATCATTTAGAATTTATATTTCTAAACCGTAAACCAATTTAGGTCTGGAAACACAAACAGCGATCGGTGAGGGTTAGCTGAGGCCGAAACGAGAGACAAAGGCGAGATAGGTGTTACTTTCCTTTAATCCTGGACTTTATAGGCCTCGATAGGCATCCGAAGTGGACTGCCTTACAAGTTTGTTACTACCGTGAATTTCAGAAAGTTACCCGAGTCGGGTATGAAAAAGACAGTAGTTGGGATGGAAAAAAATGGCCGGTTCTCAAGAAAGTAGCTGGGAAGTAGCCTTATAGACACTTCACAGTATTTTTTAGGTCCACCAAAGATTCGGTACAAGGATACAAGGCTATCGGAGCAAAAATGAGCTTTGGACTGAAGACAGGCGCGGCAGGACAGTGGTAGGTACATGAAAGGCGACGTGAGTGAAAGAAGACGCCTCGGAAACTAACAGGTCCAAATAGAGATCGAGATTGATGGAATTGCCAAATGCGGTTATCAAAGGTTTAGAAACATAATTTAGATTTAGAAGGGGGGGTCGGAGGGGTCGTCTAGACTAAAATCTAGACGAGGGTGTTTCCCATCAAATTGTGGTGCTCATCCAATTTGTTATATCGGCATCGCTCGGCATCTCTGATTTAGAAAATAATCTATGTTTCTAAATGCTGCGGGAAGTCACCCAATGCTCAGGCTTTCATTTCCCAATTTTGAAGCTCAGCAAGATCCAATAGCAAATTTGTGATTTGATGGCAACGGACAAATTAAAAGAAACCGCGGATAGTCACAGACCAGTCACATGTCCTTAGCAGTGACGCCATCCATTCTTTCTCCTTCGTAGATCTTTCTCCGTGATGACCTCGAGTCCTTAACCTATATCGCCCTGTTCCCTCTTCGCCGAAATTGCCTTGGAAACCTCGTCCAGGCGAGGAATCTCACCTGCGCTCACAAGAGATTGTCCGACACATGAAAATCAAATTGTTCAGGCAAAGATTTGCCTCAAGACTTTCCGGCCGAATTCAGCGACCTGCTCACCTACAACGAGAAGACGAGCGAATCCTCCGATGGACGCCCTGCGATCCACAAACCAGCAAACGTTCTTTAGGTGAGCCCCGAGGTCGAAATTCCTTGCGAAGACGAAGAAGACGACGACAACGATGACGACCTTGGTGAGGACAGTTACTACGGAAATGGAATGGACATTGACATATGGGAGCGTCAAGGGGAGCGAGACAGGAACTTGACCATACTGGCAGAGCAGGAGGCAGCCCTCGATCGCTGTACCCCACTGATCACAGAAGTGCTAGACACGTAAATCAGCGCAGTCGCTGGTCTTTGCATTATTTTCTAGTGTCAGAGAGTAAGATAAGGCCCGGAACTTTGCTCGGAGCGATGCATACTTGATCGCTTTCAAGTATAATTAACAGATATACTACTACGCGCATCCAATTGGATCGTCGAGAATGACGGAGACCATTCCAGGAGAGGTCACCATCTCAGCAGTCATTCCTACCAATTTTTATAATTAGATATCCCCCTACCATCATGAAAACAATCTGGCTCTGAGTGGCAAACTTCCCTCGTTGGTCCACACCTCATTAGCCAACATTACTGTTCTCGCTTGGTGCAACCACGAGTTCTGTCATCCGGTATCCACGGTCGTCAGTGCATACGCCAGGTGCCGCGTAGTTGAGAAGACCGTATTGACAATATCCAAGAAATGATGAAAGAAGACATCCAATAAATCATTCACAAGCAAAAAAGAGCTTCAGCATTAGTCTCATTTATTCATTTATTGACTAAGACTGACGTTCTATCTGCAGTGAATTATTTTCTCTGTGATTTTGGCAATGATATTGATACTCAAACCCTGGTCTGATTCGTTCTGGTTCGTTATACTGCCGGCCGTTTCCGTGGATGTCCTTTCACAGCCTGTTGCGGCATGTATTGTCTTCTTCGTTTCGTTCCATTTGGCTGTCTCTCCAAATGCTTGCATGTATATCCTCGCACAGCCTGTTGTGCCCTGTATCTTTTGGTTTCATTTGGATGTTCTCCCAAATGCTCTCATGTATATCTCTGCGCAGTCTGTTGCGCTATGCGTGGTTCCGTGCCGCTGGTGGAGGCACGTCGTGCATTCATTCATTTTTCGCCTAGACTGACATTTTGTCTACAATGAAATTTCTTTCTGCGATGCTTGGCAACGATCTCGATATCCGAACTCTGGTCCGATTCGTCCTTAAATTGTCATTCGTTCTCTGTTTTCTTGAACGACCTGTCTCTGTATCCCTATCTGGATGTTAACGTTCCACCTCCGTTCCGCGTTTGAGGCCGAGATTGACATGATTTCGCGAAATCATGCCGCGCTAGATTTCGAGCTTGTCTCTAGGCTGAATCTTTGTCGGTTACTCTTGTCTCCATCCTCTTTTTGAGCCTTCGTCCGCTTCGTGCGGACACACCCTCCTTGTAAAATCCCCAGTTCGCTGTTTCCTGTAAGTTTCTCTCTACTCTTCGCTGCTTCTCTTTCTCATCTATCAATGGCTCGGCAGATCCGTCGAATCACCTATAGAGTTTCTTGCGGCAACTTATCGGCCACAGGCATTTTCTCTGGCGGTTCTGTTGCGTTAATGTATTGCAGGTTCGTCAGGCTATGATGATATATCTTTGCTGCGTGGTGGCTAATCTATTAATCAGCAGAGTACCCATCGTCGCGGAGCTATATTTCCGCGGGTACCGCGTGGGCACGACTCAGCTAGCGACAATTATGAAGTACTCAGGATGGACAAAAGAAATGCCCGGTTGTCTATCATGTATGTTCTGACCCAATTGATGCCGTTTTTTGGACAGTAGACCACTATATGAGAAACAGATATTCTCTCAACGTGCCAGAGTGATTATTACTCTTTTATGAAAAATTTCAGTTGACGCGAGTAGCCTGGTAACTAAGCCCTCTAACGAAGAGGTCATGTTCAGGCCGGTCTATGCTCGAGGCTCTCCTTTCGTGTGTCGACTCGCAGCTTCTTGCCATAGAATTTGAGCTGGAGACAGGTCGGGAGTTGTAGCCATGCTCTGATATCTTCTGCGGCCCGAGACACCGAAGAAGTGCTAACCAACCTCTCGCATTATTGACGAAACTGAACAGTGCTCCCGAATTGCCTGAACATCGTCATAAGATGCCGCACGATAGGAGAATACATAGATAATACGCAGAGCGGTGAAGACAGAGCTCCCTGTGACTTGGAGATTGGTATCAAGCTCTGAACGCAAGTTGTTCAGTTCCGTTTGCTTTCTCTTCAGCATTTCAGAAGAATAATCCACTCGGCTTTTTCATATCTCCTTTATTGTGCCTAGGGCATATCGATCCTCTGACCCATGGATATAACCGTCATCTCAAGACTGATGTCTCTTGTCTCTCGGATGAAGAACGTCAACAGGATCTGTAGAGATCCATTGATAGTATTCACGGCCAGAGAATGTCTATATAAGTACATTAATGAAGGAACGCATAGTTGCCATGCAAGTGTCGGTATTCCAAAAAGAAAGTATATATTCGTTTCATCTTGGTGAATATGAAAGGATGAAACTAATAAAGCATCGGTATGCTCAGTCAATGTTTTTCTGGGTTTTCAATAGAAATAAAAACGCGTCAGTCGCTGAAGTTTATTCTTGGTTCTTTCGTATTCGACCTTCAATGATGTTTTCATTTAGTCTATGAACAGCAAAATTGAAAACGCACATGAAAATTTCCACCTCACTCGTTTCTGTGTGTGATGATTAGTTTGCCTGTACACAGTGCCGACCATCTCTCTGAGAGCTCCTCAGAATCAAACTCTAAAGGTTCGGGCCCGAACTCTACTTCCTCTAACAACGTGCATTGTCTACCGTCCGATGAACAGCCATCCTTTCTCCTCCGGGACTCGATGACATTGACAAGGCAGCCCAAATCCCCCGCTGAGAGACCGCTTGGCATACTTAAAACACGGAGACACGGAGCTACTGCATCATGCTCTGAAGTGTACACCAGACCATTGATCCATTGATCTGGTAAAGTCGTGGCCCTCGTCAAGATGTGCAACTCCTCCAGTTGGGGAGTTCGACGTAAGAAATTAGGAAGTTCGTCACGCAGCCCAGTGCACGCCTCCTGTGATTGATTGTGAACCTCAATAGTAAGTGTTTTGATAGGGCATGAATCTGGGTAGACAAAGAAGATCTGGTCTGATCCAAAGAAGGATATCTTCAGGAATTGAAGAGATGGGAGGATGAGGAGAGAATACATATGATTGACACTGGATGAAGAATTGGGTAGGTGCGATGCCAACAGATGAAGGAAAGTCACATTGGGTAAAGTGATTGGCTCCGCAGGCTCCGGTTCGATGTCATGCCAGCATACGAGGGTGAGCATCCGTACACGCGGAAATCTTTTGAGGGACTCATATGTATGCGGATTGCCGCCTCCAGATAAAAAGACTGTGATACTTGAAAAAGGAATGGAAATGTGTGTGAATGCTATGGGCCAGTGCTCAAGTAACGTTCCAACGACCTTTAAGCTCGGAGCGAGCCGGAAGGCGTCGATATGGAGGTGGTCGGCGCTGCCACAGATTCCAATGCCTACGTAAAGGGTGTCTAGGCGATTTAGATAGCCCTTGCACATAGAAAACTGTAGGAATGAGGTGAGGGGAAGGAACACGGATAGTCGCTTCCAATACGGAGCAGTGGGGAGCAGAATTTGAAGGATCAGAGAGACGTTCGGAACGATATTCTTTCCATGGAGACGAATGGAAAGGTCATGACCATTGGATCGGGATAATGATAAACCAAGTCTAAACACGCGATTCTTGACCTGCTCTTTGCCTTTAGGTCTTTTATCTAGATCAAGCTCAATGAAAGACCACACACAGCTCAGCAGTGTGAATGGCGACGGTTCTCCATTGTTGACAGACAAAGGAAAGGGTCCATGGCGACTGATTTGGTTGAATCGATTCAACAGCTATGGTAGGATTTAGGCTGGCATATCCCCCATCGAACGCCTGGTCTGCGGACTTGGTACAAGCCCGAAAGATAGCACGCAGCACATCATCCGGCACGTTACGCACAGGGTATAAAAGAGACTTGGCATCGGAGATGTTGGACGCAGCTTGGTTCCTTTCAGCCACCAAAAAATCCAACAACTGGCGCGTCGCCGATATTTTCTCGTCAAATTCGTCAAGAGTGTGAGGGCCTCTGGCAGCAGTTTGGAGGAATTCTTTCCTTTCAAACTCCAACAGCGGTTTATTAGAAAGAAGAAGTTCCTCGATCCTGGCCGATCTCTGAGGCTGTAAGTATTCGGGAATGAATGAAGAGAAATAGGGATGAAATTGCGGTTTGTCCGTTCGAGTTGGAGATGTCATCCTGATCAGGAGTTAGTACATTTCTCGACCAAAGAATGAATCGATGAACGACCTTCCGACGTGGTGACGCTAGGCGATAAGTACTGGATTTGAAGTTCGACGTTGAACTCTAAGTTGACTCATTGTGACCTCGTGTCGTTCAATCAGCGCACGCCTGGCATCCGGTCCGAACTCCTGCTTCTTACTCTTTGCGACATGCACTACACTCGAAGCAGTCTGACGAGGCCACGTAGTTCCTACTGAAGGATGGAATAATGACAAGGTAACTATTCAAGTGACAGATAGGCCGGTATGAAGCTTAAATATGCACTGGCGAAGGAGTCAGTACACATGATCATCAATGCTAGCAAAATGATGATATGGCAGAAGAGTTGAGGAACCGTTCAGCTCAACGAGATGGGTAATAATGGACTATAGCGAGTTGGATATGTTGCAAGCATGACAAGGAACTCCTAACAAGATTTACAGAACCTTTTACAGTGAATCCTTGAGTGTTATTTCTATTTCCACCGAGCCAAGCAACAGAACCAGAACCAGAAGTAAGAAACAAGAGGAAGGAAAGTAGGGCAAGCTCGAACACTTCATGTGTCCGGCCTCAATGGCGATTATAACCGATATGCAAGGGTCTGCTATCATCGTTATTAGGTGAAACAAAAATAGTTGATGCATAAACTCCTGAACTCAAGAAGATTCCGACGCGAGTATGAGTTCTTATCTGGGATGGCACGACACCATTTTTTTGACCTGTCTTGGCTGTACAAACCTCCAACTGCATCCTGAAAGACCCACTTGCAATCACCATTCCTTCTTTCCGTCTATGAGTTAGATATCTTCGATGTTCTACAAGACCTGCACACTGGACGAGTTCCTCGTTGCTTTCCACAGAACATCTCGTATGTCCCGCTTGTTTGAGATCATACTGTTCGGGGGTCATCGACACCAAGTTCGTCTTTAGACGGGAACATCATGATATCATTACGTCGGTAACATCAAGGGGAAAAATTAATTCCATAGACGTTCTACGTCAAATAACAAAACATTCGAGGATTTACGGGCGATGTTCCGCCATCAACACACATAACCGCCCCATTGGTGTAGTCCGATACCGCTAGGTAGACCGCTGTCGTCCCAATCTCTGCATCACTAGAAACCTCGATTCAAATACTGATCTTATCAGAATACCGAGCGTACTCACGACCCATGCATCGGCGCTACAGCACCAGGTGCAGGCTTCGTCTTGATAATCTCCAAAATTTCAGGACCTATCAGCTGCGATGCAAACGAGCCAAGCTGCAGCACGTTCACCCGAACCGGGATACCTCTCACAGCAAAACTCGTCCCAAGAACGAGGGTGGGCTTGTCCAAGGCTGCTTTCGTCACACCATAAGCCATCTGATCGAGTCAAGTCAGTTCGAGCTTTATAAACGAATATCGAGACAGATACACACGCTCAGGGCCCCGGTGTGTTGATTCTTTCTGCGATGCTGCTGATGTTGATGACGCTTGAGGTGCCTCGGGGGCGGAAATATGCTCCTTTGATGAGGAGGGATTGGAAGGCGCGGGCGACAAAAAATGGGGCGATGGCGTTTAATGCGAAGATATCGACCCAGTTCTGTATGGTCTCAGGTTCGAGAGGATCTGTCGCCGCGTGCTGTTTAGTGGTAAAGTCTGGATCACGAAGGGATCCAGCAAATCCGGCATTGGGAAGAGATTGGTGTATGGAAGAGAACGGGGTTGTGATGTACGAACTTGTTGACGAGGATATCAAGCTTTGCCGTCGATTCCTTCAATGCACTTGGCGCCGGCCTTGACAGCTTCTTCGTCGGTCATGTGCATCTGCAGTCTATGTGTCGGTAAGCAATGGATATATGGAAGAAAGGACGATTACAGACGGGATAATGGACCCTGGAACGCCTGTAACAGACGCTTGCAATCACAAATCCTTTGTCAGAGAGTCAACTGTGAGTCGTAAATGGAAGCCAGGAAACATACATCCCCGTCCCTCCGCCTGTAATAAGGCCTACTCGTCCCAACAGCGACATCACCGTAGCCACATTAAGGTCTGCCATATTCTGGGAATGCTGCAGTCTCTGGGCGCAGTCCCATTTATCATAGCAGTCTTATTCAGCGAGATTGTGGACTTGACATTGCAAGAGTCCATCCTTGTCCACCCTTGATCAGAATGACTGAAGTTCGGACTGAAATCCTATTCTGAAAGCTTGTCGTTCGGTGAAAGGACCTTCTGGAAAATGACGACGAAAGCGCCGATAAACTTGCTAGTCGTCTTCAAAATAGAAGCTTAAGTACGGTTTAGCTGGATAAGTGAAATGTTGATTCTCCCACAGCTAACCTTACTAGTCCTTTCATATCAATCTACCCAGGTCCGAGTCAAAGTCCTCATAGAGTACCAGAAACAGAAGTCAATTTCTTGGATGTCGACGCTGAAGATCACGTTTCTGTATGCTAAATATAATCATTACACCACTGGGCTCATATCTGAGCTTTGTCGTTCGTATCCACTGTGAGACTTGGCTTGTGGTACTTATTAATGGATGCTTCATTGCTAGCTGAGAGAGAAGAATTCCTGAATAATAATGCAAAGAGGAAATGAGCATGGTGGGGATGGCAAAGGACGGAAGCTAGCGTCGGGATTTCAAACACGGCTTGAACCACTACCACCACCACCTACGTACACCGTCTATACCCACCCTTTCCTTTCTTCAAGCTCGAAGCAATGTGTGAATACAGCGACACAATACCGCCTCCCGGCGAGCTGATAGACCCCCTATTCCTCGAAATATTCCTCGAACTCGAATATCTCAAGCGTCGGCTAGTAGTAGTCACCACGAGCTCTGAACTTGCCATAACCCTGGAATCCATCAAAGACGCAATAGCACGGTGCAAGGACTATCAACTGAAGGAATCTCTTATTCGTGAACTGGCGGCAGAAATCGTGGACCTCAAGGTTACAGTGCGTAATAGGTCTGGTGAAGACTGTGGTACGTTCCACAGATTGCTTCGTACACGCCTAGCATATTTATTTCATTCTAGATGAGTACAGGATGCTGGTCCTGCAAGAAAAGTGGGTCGCTTACTGGTGATTATGCTCCTCGCTGTATCGCCTTGATGCATCAACTTTTTCGTTGAACTAGGTTGATACACGTGAGGATCGTTCGCCTGCTCTTGTCCAAAGATTTCTGGCTTGTGATACTCGCTCTGTTTCTCCTGTGGTTTCTATCTCGGGTCAAAGGTCTAGCTTGACTGTCGGTACGTTTCCAGCGAAATATGACAGATGCTCGTCATTTGACCATAATTACAGCGTTTTCGTGGCTGTATCACACTATACCTCTGCATACCTCTCCTGAAAGGATCTTATATCTATTGTTGTACCCGCACAATATCGTCAATGTAAATCTGGAAAATAATTTGTAAACGAAGTTCATCGGCAAACGCATCGTCTTCTTGGAAAACTTTCTCCAGTTAGTCGAAGGCGCAAAAAGTGTGAACGTCCGTGCATCACGCGCGAATACTGAACAAATGCAGGGACTTGCAAGCGTTACTGCTTGGGTCAAGGTCGTAACAAACGCGTCGTTCTTCAATTGTCCTTTAGTATTTCTGACCTCCAAGTCCTGCTTTGAATAAACCTCATATCCAAACTCTTTGGAATCGCCCAAGACCATCTTCGGAACGTACTAACATGTATCAGACTTGTTCAATAGAAGTTGATGACTCGGAGGGTGGATGGCTAGATGGCTAATACTTGTAGTGATCCGACATGGCTGCTAAGATATAGATAGTGACATTGGGAAACAGCTCGAAGTCATAGCACGAAGGAACTTTTCTTAATATGGAGGCTGAAGCTTGAATGGGAAAATATTCGGGACTGTAAACCATTAATTCCCAAACAGACTGTATAACTGCTAATGGTTTCTTTGTCACATCGGAATCTAATTAATGACATGGATACAATGTCCGAGTGTAAGACAAGTGCGATAATTCTTGTCAGTGACCCAAATAGTAAGAAACCCTATGTATAGGTCAGTTTTATCAGACAGATGCAATGGCCAACTACACCACCAGTTGGTTCCATTGACATGTATTGATGTGCTGGGCAACTGTACCAGGTGGAAAGTTGAATATATTTATTTTTTCCTACTGGGTTAGTTGTTCTATGCCATAGTAAGAGATAATAAGCAAGTAATTACCTGGTGAAGGGCCAACTCCCTTGAAGGACATCACCTCAGCATCCAGTAGAAGCTGGAGTGCTAGCAGACCTTGCAATTTAGCAGGAGAGGTTCCCAGGTCCAGGGGACTTGTATGATTGGTATGCTGGCAAGGGCTGGGCAGAGTCCAGTTGTTTGATCAGATTAGCTGTGAATGAGCTCATATCTGCCAGGAGATGGGTTTAGCCTACTGGGACGGGCCAGCAAGCCTATTAGCCAGTAGATCACAGGGTTAGTCAGACACTGGGGATCCAGAAAGTATAAATAGCAGTACAGAGATAGGGAAGGCAGGTTTCTGACCCCCTCCCCCAAAGTGCTACCAGGTGAATAGTACAGATTATGTTTGGTTAAGAGCTTCAAGTCATAGACTCAACCTGAATAGCATTGTGGTGACAAGATCACTTTGTTTGTGCAAGAACCCCAGAAAGCAACCAAAAGTTATATCAGATAGTCAGAACAGACTTGAGACAGTTCAGAACAGTCAGTTTTATGTATAAGTCACAACCAGGCAGACTGTATCAGTTTAGAAACTGCATCAGGCAGACAGCACACATTCAGAACCTGCACCAGGCAGACTGTTTGAGATAAGTTTTATTGTGTTCAGTAACACAGACAGCTTTGTCCAAGTAAACCACAATACATATCTTTGAATTACATTCTATTGCACCCTATCAATGTTACATTTCTCTATATACTGAGAATCCAGATGTTACCATTCCTCCCTCAAACCACATTGTGATTTGGTATTAGTGATTTGGTGCACCCTGCATATTGTTGATTTGTTTAGTGCCACTTCTCAGCATTTCATCTGAAGCCCACCATAAGGGAGGAGTAATATCTAGATTTGAAAGTGTTCTGAAAGTAACAAGTTTACAATCTGGAAGACAATCTCCATCTCCAACCCAATCTGAGTAGTGTCTGATCATTGCATAAAGCAGCATGAGAAGCATAAAAACTTAAGCAAGCACAAGAAAAAGCTGAGCATAGAGATTTCCATGAAGCTGAAGTAGAAGCTGGTATAATTCTGCATAGCACACAGAAGAGAGTCATATCAAAGACCCTGGACATAGAAACCAAGATTGAAGTGAATATTGCTGCAGCAGCATTGGACTATGGAAGAATTGAGAGAGAATTGCATGATGCCTCTCTGAAACCTATTTTATCAGGTTTCACTCTTTTTGGCAGTGTTAGATCAGTATTCAACTTCATTTCAAACTATCAGCAGCAGTAGGGGAATGAAGGGATGAAGAACCTGTGATTAGTGGTATGACTACAGAGCTTATATACCTCTACAAGTATTCTAGTAAGTTCTACTACTGTTCCATAATTGTAGCTAAGTGGGTAATGTAGAATCTTTGAGCATCAGCATGACTTTTACATGTATGAGTAAGGTCCATTCACTGGTTCAATATTGGTGCATTGGCTTGTTTGGCTAACACTCCCCCTCAAGCTGAAATCATTCCAAGCTTCCAAACAAGAGGTTGGAATTTGAATGAGGCCAGTGCCTTGGTGAATGTCAGCTGTCATCTCATTCATAGGGCAATAGATGACATCAAGTATTCCTGCCTGTATTTTGTTATGGATGAAATGATACTGTTGAAGAGGATCTGAGTGCATGCAAGGTGAAAACAGATACAGCAGAGTGCTATCCACTGACCACACTCACACCAACACACACACAAAACTCTTAGTTCATGGGGAGATTATAATGTGATAAAAGTAGTGATCAATTATTTAATCACCTAGCGATATCCACTTCAGGCTCTGATTCATGTCAATTTTCGATAGGTATTATCTGGAGCAGTTGACATGTCCTCTTGAAAAAAAGAGGAGATCAAGGCCCAAGTGCGCATTCAACCATTGGTGGTTCATAAGACACAGCGCAGCTACATCTTCTCTGCACTTCCCTCTCCGATGATGCCAAGGGTAAAAGCTTCTCATTGCTGTCAGACGCTGAAGCTGATTGTTTAGAGGAAGCCTGGAATATTATCAAGTCCTGATGAACTCGGCGACGGCGTACACTCCCTGACAAACATCCTTACGTGACTCCAGTGTGTTCAGCGCTCCGTTATCTCCGTCTTCTGTCGCTTCCGAACCTGCCTGTCGGCCTGATGTATACGCCGTCCTTGCTCAACAGGGTCAGGCACAGTAGTTGAATCCTTCCTTTTTGAAGGGAGCGCATTAATTTGCCAAGTGGTACCCCACGCCTGACGGAATAGGAACAGCGCGAGGCATTTCTCGACATTCCCAACAACCCCCACACACCACCTGCCCCGGAATGATTCGCCACATATTAGGCTGAGGTACGTACGTTTTGGAATGACTTGGATCACTCGGCTTGATCTTCGTGGAACTGATTTTCTCTAATGACAATCAACAAAGACGCATGCACATCAATTTTATGTGAACATTTGCACAAAGAAAATTGCGATAATTCGCTCATTGCCAGTGATAAGCTCTAACGAAGGTCGGTAGAACGTTTACGAATTCGGGTGGTGGCTTCGTTCTCAGACCAGGCAGATGGCTGTGGAAAACAAAGGTCGAAGCACCGATCACGGAGGCGAAGGGAACGATCAACTGGTCCCCAGTATGGTGGATTCTCCTGCATGATGAAACAATGTGAGCAATTAACCGCCTATGACAGATACGAAGTGGAGCACCCTGAATCTACTCGGCCAAAGCGGTGGAAGAAGCGTCGTAATTGTTTTTGCATCTCAGCCGACAGGATCCCCTTGAAGGGAAGAGAAATCAACGGCCGTGCACCTTGGTCGATGGCAGTGATTACACCACGAGAGACGACGTGCTCTGAGATGTGCAAGGACAGAGTGCATTTTCCTGCTGCTAAGGGCTCGCATATGCTCATGAACTGTCGAGCCAAGGCCGATGTTGGGAAATAAATGGAAATTTCCTAATATTTGTAAGTAAGAAAGACCAGTCGACGGATTGGCAATGGAGGAACTGACCGTTGGGGAGGAGTAACGGGCCGTTATGAAAGACGCTGGAGGAATATTGTCGTAATTTCCAGTCCAGCGTGCGCACATTTCCCGTGTCTCATAGTCTTTCAGGCCTGAAATCTTTACAAGGCGTGCTTGATTAGGCTGCTCATCTTCCTTCGAGTACCACTCTGGATAGGTGAAGTGGTCGCTATCCATAAACCTCGGCACAGCTCCCGTTTTGGAAAAGTCAATCCGTGCCTTTTTACAGAGGTTAGTACACAGGAATGAGATATTTTTCAAGGGAAGGTTACCTTGATGGCCTGGGGCATATCCAAAAACTGAGCTTCGATGATACCCCCTCTGGACTTGTCAAAGCGCGAAGAGACGACTCCTCCATGGGCGGAGAGGATCTCGTTGAACTGGGATTCGGTAAAGCTCTCTGGAACTTTACGCAGCCGCATCGTGCGCGTTGCATTGTATTTTGCGAGCATGGCCACAGTCATGGTGTTCAATGCCGGTGAAGTCGACTCGTCGATTTTTAATGACAGCTCCTTGTTCGCTTCGACGCAGCGCCTGGCAGCTCCCTCATCAAAGAACCGGACGAGGAGATGATCTTTCGCGGGTATTATCGTCTCTGCCGGGTTGGCTTTCACGGTATCGACGATGTTGCTGACATTGTATCCTTCCGGGAGATTTTCGACACGGACTGTGCGACGGAGAGATGGAGATTCGGTTGCTGCAGTAGCGTAAGAGGCGTAGGGGGTGTGGGGTCCCCGCAGACGGCGAAGGGCAAAACCAAGCCGGAACATGTTCGATGGCAAAAAAAATTCCTGGGCTTCCCACGCCATAGACGCGCTACGGCTCTCGGGCCGAGAGGTCTACATCCCGAAACGGCAGTCAACGCCAGGGTTATTTATTAGGAAGCTTACATCAATTTGTGAACGGATGGCATAAAATATTGAATTTACAAAGATACAGATGGATGTATTGGAGAATGAACTTCGCGCCCTCTTACCTCGAGTGATTCATCAGCAGCCATGTAAAGACAGAACTTCAAACCGGATCCAGAGAAGATAATACGATCCACATTAGGTGTAAATGTCACCCTAGGCAGATGATCCTCGCCTAGTAAAGATATCACGAGATACTCACTCCCATTTTATATCTGAATTTATTTGTCATTGATGAAAGAAGACTACTGAGGCCCAGGAAATAGTCTGATATTTCAAAGCACAACTACCACAGCTCACGCCAAGCCACAAAAAAGGTGGGACGAGCGTCCTTAATCTCAGCTGGTGGCGGGGTCCTCGAACCCTTGTACATCGCATGGACAAAGCTCGTCGCACCAACAACAGAACCGAACGGAAGCTTCAAGCATCCTTCAGAGAGGGCTACATTCCTTCGCGAAACGAGGTAAGCGGAACGACCTAAAGAGAAAAAAAGAAACAGAAATGAACGTACTTTGAGTCCAGCTGGCCGAACTTGTGAAAGAAGGTGACAAGCTTCTTTCGCTGGACGTCTGGCAGGACGTCCTTAGTGAAGGGAAGAGAGACGATCCGGCGTGCACCCAGGCCGAGGGCGGTCACTACACCGCTAGGGACAGGTCGTTCGGTGGATTCCAATGTCAGACGACATCTATTTTTTACCAACGGCTCGACTTCCCTGATGAAAGCCCGGGCCTGGGCCGATGTGGGGAAATAGACGAGTAGGTCCTAGGGATGGTGTAAAGCTTTTTATGACTGAGCGATGGAGCGGGATAGACTAACATTATCACGGCCATACCGGGAGGCAATGTATTCAGCAGAGGGCACCTTTCTGTAATTGTTCATCCAATTGATGCAATGCCATTTTACCTGAATGTTAGCAAAGTCTGACATCCTGACGCGGCGTTTTAGGTTTGGCTCTGTATCCTGCTTGGAGTACCACTCTGGATATATAGAGCTGTCGCTGTCCACGAACTCCGGGTGCACTCCTGCCTCGACAAAGTCGACGTGAGCCTACTCTCAAGGTTAGAGTATTACAAAGAAAAAAAAGAATTTTTCAGGGATTCGTACCTTGTACGCATGATGTACGTCCAGGAACTGTGCTCCGATGAGGCCCCCTGACCTGTCAAAATGCGTGCAGTGGGCTCCATCATACTTGGAGAGGATTTCGATGAACTGAGATTCAGTGAAGCTCTCTGGTACGTCGTGTAGCTCTATCGAGCGTGTCGCATTGAATTTTGCGAGCATAGCGATGGTCTCGAAGGTCACCGGGGGCGACGTCGAATCGTCAATGCTCAGCGAAAGGTCTTTCTGCTTCTGGTTCGCCTCTACGCAGCGCTTCGCAGTCCGTTCGTCGAAGAATCGGATAAGGAGGTGGTCTTCTGAGGGTATTATTGTCTCCGCCGGGTTGGCGTTGATGGTGTCAACGATGCTGTTAGCATTGTATCCTTCTGGGAGGTTGTCGACACGGACAGTACGTTTGATGGATGGTAATTCTGTTGTAGTGGTGTAGGATGCGGAAGGAATACGAAAGGCTTGCAGACGACGAAGGGCAAGGCCAGCTCGAAACATGTTTGACTGCAAAAGTTTTTTCGTTCCCACACCGTAGACGCGCTCCGGTCCACGGTCCGAAGGCTAAAACGGCTACGTGTTCCCACGTATTCAAAAAAGTCGATGAACGCCTTCAACATCGCCACTCGAAAAGTTATCAACTTGATACTAATTGGGCACTACGAGTTTAGTTTCTGCTATCCAATATGTTGATGAGATTTAAGATATTTCTCTTAATTCTGAATAGAGTCTCCAGAAAGCCAACTAATGCCTTATTTTGCCAGTAGGTTGCTATTTGCAGCTGGAAATATTGAGTCTTTTGACCTTGGTCATAATTCCCTGAATTTTCGCCACAAATTCATAGATCCTTGAGTAACTACGGATATTCTGAATTCATGATTCCGCAGGAGCTCAGTTGAGGTGATGTAACTTTGATGAACCCTCAGCTTGAGCTTGAAGGTTGGAGCCAAGTCGCTTTAAAACTATTTCTTGGATATACTTGCTTCCTTTCTATTTTCGTTGAGAAGTCTGTAATCGGGGTTTGTTCACTCTTTTCCTTCGGAAGATTGTCATATTTTCACGAGACTGTACGGTGTACGAATCGGACAAGCTATTTCCATCATGGCCAAGGAACGCTAGTCACCAATTGGTGCTTCATTAAACTTACTCCGAAATGTGGCATTTAATAATTGCGCACTCCAAGCTAGCGCTCACTTGCAATCGGCCCTTCGTCATTCCTCTTCCTTAATTAAATCGTGCACGTTGATGGCTCGGTGACTGTAAGCAATTCGCCCCCCCCAATAGATGGTTGCGTTGTTCCATGGGACGTCGAGTGGCGTACGGCACGTTCGTCGGCCCCGGCCCCCAGTTAGTACCATCTGACGGACGGCAGACATGCTGATAGACAGCCAAAGGGATTGACGTACACAGTACACAAAGTCCGTTTCCTAAAAATATCATGGAGAAGTGTTCTCTCTGTGATGAAAAGTGACATGCAAAATTGTGAAGTGATCCTCGAAGGTGAGTGCTGCTGCGGCCCTCGTCCCGATGTCGGACAGAATGTTCTATTTGAGGCCAGGACTGCGCAATAAAATCACGCCCCCTCACTTCTTCTCCCAATATACTCGCAATTTCTTACACCGTAGCAAAACTCTATAGTAGCTTTGCATGCAACGAGTGTGGTCGATGTACCTTGGCCCCAGATGGAGCAATCCGAATCCGGTAATTATACCCACGCGACCCTTTTGGCTCTTGCCCTCATCCAAGCCGGTACATATAGATGGACTAGTAAGCGATTTTCTCCTCTTGGAATATCCCACAGGCACTGAAAACTGCGCAGTCCTTCTCGCCCAGCGTCAGCGTCGTCGCATGACACGTCTACCCGCCATTTCTTCGACGAAATGAGCCCACCCAGTGCACATTTTACCTCGTCGTTGCCGCATGGCTCGTCAAGCTCCTCGATTCGTCCTGATGCCTCCACCCCCCTCACGCCGGAGACCCAGACAAACGTCTCGCTGAGCGTCAACTACCTGCCAACCAAGTTTTCCAACACGTTGCTGCAGCCCGGGCCACGGAGACGGAAAGCAAAGGGCGTAGAGTTGAGTGTCCCCAAGCGAGGAGGAGGAGTTGAGGCATTTAGGTCGGGAGAGGCGAGGATGCCAGGTGAGACTGATGAGGACTATGATGGCGTTACCGGCAGCTGGTTCGGTGGCAGGAGCGGCGGGTCGAGATTCACCAAGAAACTGCGCTGGAACAGGTTCAAATGGACGCTGTTCGTCGCGAACCTCGTCTTGACCTGCTATTCCATCGTCGGCCTCATCTGCCTGCTGATGACGTGGTTCAACATCTGGTCGGACGCCGACATCGTCCGTGTTGGCAACCGCTCAGAGCTCATCGTCTCGACCATCGCTGCGTGTCTGGGAATACTGACTTGCATCATCGGATGGGCGGGGATTCTGCTCAACAACCGTTCCTTCCTCGCCGTGTATACGTTCCTGCTCTGGGTCGTGTTTGCGTTCAACACCGCGCCGGGATACATCACCTACAAGCGCCGGGAGCTCAATCTCGAGGGCAAGATCAACCAGCAGTGGTCCCAGGATCTCGGTTCGGAGGGCAGGCAGCGGATTCAGAACCAGCTGGGGTGCTGTGGGTACTATAGCCCGTTCGTCGAGGCGACGGTCTCTCAGACGTGTTACTCTCGCTCGGTATTGCCAGGATGCAAGCTCGACTATCTCAAGTTCCAGCGTCGGGTGCTCAAGCGGTGGTACACCGTCAGTTTCATCCTTGCCGGCCCACAGCTTTTGATCGTCATCGCTGGACTGCTCTGCTCGAATCATGTCACGTACAGATTTGGGAAGGGGATGATGCCCAAGGCGTATCGACTGAGCATGAACAGTATGGCGGTCATTATGGATAATTATGCAAAGTGTGTTGTTTCCTTCATTTTTGGAAGCTTTCCTGATGTGTTTTTTTGCAGCAAATTGGCAGAACAATATGGGGAGGATGTGGCGACGGATGTCATCTCACGCTCTCGGTCGAACCTTCACCTTGACGGTGGTATGGTTAGCATGCCGTATGCCTCCGTGGCGCCTTCGTTTGCCACGCATAACAAATACGACTCTGTGGGGTCCAGGCCACCGCCGGAGGCACATTAAACCAACTTTATTACTCATGGGACTGTGGACATTCATTGGACAAATTTTCACTTGGCTTATGTTACATGTACCAGCATTTTGATACCCACATTCTTTTCATGGAACGTTCTGCCTGTTCAATTGTTCTGCTAGAATACATAGCTGTCTTCGCTAACGCGGTGGAGTTACGGTGATGAGCACCTCGGGGTTGAAAAGTGGCTCAAGACAGTATGATGAAGGTGGGGCAGGAAGTGTGGGTACTGAGAATTGTTGTAGGGTACTGTTCCCTCCGGTTTACTTCGATTATTTCTTGATGCCTTCGTCTTCTCTTCCCCTTTTCTTCTATGTAATTCATTGTGATTTGTTACTGAGTCGTCTGACTCGCGCTGTATTATTACTGGGTAAGAGTCATAATTCTGTAGTATATGAGAATGTAGCTACGTAGTAAAATAGCATAGTTCGATCTTGCCCACAGAAATCGGGTACTGCCTCCAATGGCCATGATTGGATTAATCTCTTCATCCCTTTTACGAAGACGACAAAAGTTCAAGGTGACCGGATTTCTATTACATTATCTAATGATCTCTATGATCCCATCAATGCACTCCTTAACTATCTTAAAAATCAATGATAACTTACCACCTCATGCCTCGCTATTCACTTATTCCACGGATGATTCATCATGGAACTCATTATCCAAGGAGGCATTTCTCAGCCGGTGCTCCCTCCCATTCGTTTCGGCATACGGAAGTAGCTTAGGCAGCAGCCTGTATTGACTAGCGCCCAGGCGGGCCGCTTTTGCCGATTCATCAGTCCAAAATTTGGCGTGAAGTCGGAGTTGAGTCGGAAGTCGGAATACTTCAAGCCGCCGCAACAGAATGACCAAGTCTTTCGGCAATGACGGCAGCCAAAGTGGGAACTACATCCATATTTTTTGTTTTTCGTGGCCCGGCCATGTTACGAATTGGTTCTGCCGTCCGTCGTCTGCAGGCCGTCCGTTTTCCTTCCGCGTCTTATGCAACTGCTGCAGCCTCTCTCCACCGTACAGTCCGCGTCGAAAACCTCCCAGAAGGCTACGACGTCAGCAGCATCATTGAAACCATCAAAGGCAACCCCGCAGAATCCGTCGCGCCCGCCAAGGACCACCTCCTCGTCCGCTTCTTCGACGAGAGCACCGCGCGGCGTTGCGTCGAAATTAGCAATGGCGTCCAGAACCTCTCCGTGAAGATCGACGAAGCGACGTCCTCCCCACCGCTCGACGACGGCACCATCGCCCGGATCGCGAAATTCGACTTGACGCGCACGATCCGGCTGAGCGACATACCGAAGGGCCTCCACGAGTATGACCTCCAGCAGATGCTCACCAAGTACGAAGGCGCGGACGTGCGTCTCAATTTGGCGGAGACGGAGGCGGACATACACTTCTTGGATGTTCACCACGCGACGGACGTATGCTTTACCGTTTTTATTTACTTGAATGCGTGCTTTACCTTTTCTTCTAGGCGTACTCTGTCTTGAAGACCACGGGCGCCACGGTGGCCCACCGCCAAGTGATCCCCGACGACTACATCTTTCCAGAGTGGTACTCGCGTGAAGGGCCCGAATCGACCCAAGCCGTCAACATCACCCGATTCTCATCGCGTCAAGTCCGTGAGGACTGCTATCGACTCGTCTCGGATACGAGCCTCCCTTCGGTCCCTTTCATCACCACGCTCTTGCCGAAACGTCATGTCAGTGTGTTTTTTTCCCCCCTCCCCCCCAATCCTAGCACGCAATCTCACGGCTCCCTCCCCCGTTTTCAGTGGATAAAAGCCTTCTTTCCAACGACAGCGCTAGCCCGGCAGTTCGTCGAGGAGAGTAAAGCAAAGTCGGATGCCCTCGGCGTCAAGGTGACCCTCGAACCGACCAAAATCCACCTCGGCGCCAACATGATCACCGCAGTCGGCTTGGGCGCTACCCGTATGATATCCCTACCAGCCACCGTAGAACCCACTTCGTTCGGTCAAATAAAGCGTTTCTTCTCGTTCTACGGTTTAGTGGGCCAAAAGTGAGCATATTTTTGCCCCCCCCCCCCCCAGCCGGTGGTAGGGAACTAACGTCTTTTTTTTTTCTTTTTTTTCGCTAGGGGCATCTCCTGCACCGACGGCAAGTTGGTCGTGGTCTATGACAAGATGATAGCGGCTGCGAGCTTCCTCACAGCGTACAGCCAAGGGCTGAAAAAGAGGATACCAGCGCAGATTCAGGGCGCCACACCCAGTTTTTATCGGGGAGACAAAAATTCATAAGTGGATCTTAGAGGAGTAGGGCATTTGTAAATTTACTACCACCAAAATAGATATCACGCTAGGCGAACTGATATACCAGTCCCGAGATCCTCGAGTTCGACCTATCCATACACATCATCTGCCTCGCGCTTCGTCGGCGTCATTTCCACCAAACGAACGCTTCAGTCGCAGGCTTGTAAGTATCCTAATCTGAGTCAAGCAGTCGCTTGTCACATCAAGAAGAACCACCACCCCCGCCCTTCTTATTCGAGGCCCACGACATCTCGATGATCAAAATACATACCCCCCTCCAATGAAAAGCAGGGTTTAGGTTTAGGGTCGCCCTGAGCCACAATCAGATCGCATAAATGGTATAAGTCACTTGATTTAGATTTAGCATGCGAAGAGAAGAAGCCCAAGGTGCGGAAAAGTCAATGAAGTACCAAGGAAGCCAACAGACATACCTACAACTGGAAGAGTCCATCCCAAAGTAATCATGAATTCATCTATCTCAAACAAAACAACAGGGGTGAGGCAGCATCAATCCTGTAAGATGTTCACTCCAAGTCCTCATTGACCAGAGCTGCCCTTTATGTGGTCCTGCGGGACGGCACGCAGTGAACCGCCACCCCCATGACCAATCCAAACATGAGAGAGAAAGCAAAAATGCATATACGTATTCTGTCGGTATACAGTGGGTACCCAGAAAGGGGAAAAGAAAGAAACCTGTGTACAAAAGAACGTCCAACAAATAGATAGGGTGGATACAAGAAAACAATGACAACGACAGCAATAACAAAGAAGCATACTAGACAGCATCTGAAGGCGATGGGACATTAAAACCCAATCTCTTCCAATCCCTCGCAACGAAATTGATACCTTCAAGATCCTCCAACCACACACCTCGACCTCCACAGCTATCCCAGACAGCTCTCCAAAACAACATCAGGTCAATGTCAGGCTCGAGGCCGCTCCGAACCTTGAGCAACCCGGGACCCATGTCCCTAACATACCGCAAGGAAGGGAACGCATCGCGCCTCAGTAGGCTCCGCATCTGCTCAATCAGCAGCCAATTCCCTCGCCCGATGTCACGGACTCCGATAAGCTGCAGCCGCGGATGAGACGGAAGGAGTACATGTGGCGCAATCCAGTCTGGGCTCTCCCAGTTCCACTCAGCATCTGCAGAACAGATGAACTCGGTCATGTTCGGGAGAAGCGACGCAAGGATCGGCCGCACCGAGACTGGTTGCGTGGGGGTAATGTAGTGCTCTTCAAGGATATTGGATGACGAATGACCGAGTTCCAGCTGGTTTATCTTCGCCCCATGAGCGGAGAAGAACGCAAGGAAGCCGGGGGAAGAGTAGCTGAAGTCAGGTGAGATAAGCGATAGGTTGCACAGCGCCGGAAGGATCCAAGTGGAGAGAAGCTCAAAAGTATTCGAGCAAAGCGACGTTTTGAGGGTCTGCAGCTGAGGAAGATAGAATGTCTGCGTGGGAGTTACAGGTGGTGGTGAGGAGATAGCAAATGACGACCGCATGGGTGCATAGAAGTGCAATTCAAGGAAAGTGAGATTGTGTAGAACAGAAAAGAGAGGTATGGTAGGAGTCGGAGACGCTTCGTACGACGTCCATGACAGACGACGGAGGTTGGTCGGTAGCGACTGGAAGAGGTCATCAGGCGTACATGTCTCCTCGAGAGGAGAGTTGACGGAAAAGACAGTGAGGCGAATGGATCGATGGTCCGAGTAGATGGCAAGATCAGGCGAGGCGTCGAGGATAATACGGAGATGCGAAGGGTTACACTTGTCCAACGTCATGGTCTCGATGTGGAGCCTCCTAATCCAGCGACCATGACCCTTGCCTTCCGGCGTTTCCAACGTACGAGCGAGGAGTCGAGCATGTCCAGCACGATTGACCCAAACGAACTCGTACAAGAACTCAGTCGCCCACTCCCTCCATTGCCTGCTGACCCTGCATAGAGATAGCTTTTGATCCATCGTCGCATAATACGACGCTAGTCGCAACTGAGTGACATAGGGTGGATCCAGAAACGAAACGGGCCGCGAAGTGTCGAGGGGGTCAGGGTAAGAACAGGTCGCAAATCGGATGACAAGCATCCAGACCTCCGGCGGAAGTTCCGGGCGTGTCGTCGTACGAGTTACAAGGCATTCGATTGGTTGGAAAGCCGATGGCTTGTGTTGTCTTCTCCGCTGCACAGCGCCACGCAATACAAACCCAAAGGAAGACATGGTAGATGCTACAACATCAAGGTAAGAGAAAGGACAGATCTGAAAGGAATGTGTTCCTCACCAAGATATGACAGATGAAAGATGGGATCACTGCTCGAGAGGATGGTATCTGGTATTTTGTTGAGACTGATACAGATGTGATATGAAAAAAAAAAAGATAGGAAAACGCTGCTCGATGCTGTCAGTCATTACAAACCCATCGAGATGGCGACATACGGTGACGACGGTATATGGGTCGCTGAACTCGCTGTCCGCGACAGGAAACACTGATTGAAGAGGTATATGCGGAACGTAAAGCAGGATACGACGGAGATGCTATATGAGAAAATCAGCACATAGACGGTGGTGGAAGAGGGAGCATACGGTAGAACAGAAACACTTGGGGCCACCTGTTGCAACGAGCTCGCTATAAAGGAAATAGTCACGGCTGTTTTGAGTGTTGTGCTCGCTGTGGAGAACGGCGAGCTCGCTGTATGCAGGGGACGCGGTGGTGGTTCGCTACCAAGAAGGGAACCGGGAGTTTTGGGACCGGGAGATATTCCCACGACTGCGGTCACCACGAGCGTTTACCCCGAAAGGACTTAGCTAATTACCCTCATGGTCGCCTATTTTCGTATACTTCCGGTCCTCCCTTGAGAATTCCTAATACTTCCCTTTCTCTCTGTGCTTCCTACCCGGCTTTCTGGCTAACAAGCCTCTATTTTCCCCCAGTGAATATAAGATCATTTTTGGACACTGAGCGCCTGACATGGCGCTATGATTGGAGTTCTGATGCAAGTATGATATCAGAAGGTTCTTTTGGCCACTCCGGGCATCTTGGTAGACGGCGACCTAGTGGTACCATGTTGATTTTTGTGCTCTTACCTCTTTCTTCGCCGATTATTCACCCACGGAAACGACTCACGAGGCTACAGTGGGGAAGAACACACAATACGCTGTTCTAAAACCGTCTACGGATTTCGGGAAGTTTCCGAAGGCTGTGCTTAGATGGGGTTGGAATTCAGCTCTTCATCAATTCGAGCGGGAGCTGCCTGTGTATGGATCCGATTAAACCGCTGAACATGAAGAAATTTCCCACTACAATTAGCAATGGGTGCCTTATGTTGTAATCCAGCGTTATATTTACCTCGATCCTGTCATACTTTCTCGTAAGGCCTACCCCCTCGCTTCCAGCCCAAATTTCCGCAGTTGAATGGGCGTTTATGGACGACACTGTAATATCTCACGGCAGTCTATGCTGTTTTGACAGCGTGTACCAGAAAACTTGTTCGCGTAACGATGAACTATGGAACAGACTGTACATATTAAATTGGATCTGATGACATGGTAAGCGAGCGACTTGTATGATACGGTAGTACGCACAGATCAAATGCAATAGATTCTCACCATGATGGCCGCAAGGCTAATGCTGACTAAACAGCCTAAGGCCTAGGACGTTCTCCCACGAGTTCGCAGTCACATAAATAAGGCAAGGAGGTTCACAGTGAGATACTTGCCTTATCTATCATTAAACAATAAGCATTACTAGCCTAGACCAGCCGTTTTCGCTTAGAATGTACTCACGAACCTGACTACAAACCATCTCTTCATGAAGCAGGAAAACGAATAATAATAAATGAGAATCTTCGCTTCGAGTGGGAAAACAAGCATATCGTTATTCAGCTATTCTAGGGCTGAATGTTGATGGACGTTAATGACATCTCTCCGGGTCGGAGTTCAGAGTCGAACCGCTGAGAATCAGCAAACATGAAAATTGGATATGCGGGGAGAACGGACGACGCCAGACGATGAATTCCTCACAGTCCAGCTTGATAATAAATCCACCTTGATGGCTGTCCATAATTCCCCTAGAACCTCTTCGGAATTCCACTGAAGCCCGCGCCAAAAATATCAAGGAAAAAGGCTGAAGCACCGAGGAGGCTGAATAAATCAGAATGGGTTCACGACGAAGATACTATGAAAGAGGGGGATACGTGTACAGACAGACCACAGCCCATAGATGCTCTGAACGAAGAGGTAAAACGAGGTAAAACGTCAGCAGTGGTGCATCATTTATCATGTCCGGTCCGAAGAATCTGATCCGAATGGACCAACAACCTCGGACATTGCCAGACAACGTGGCGTTTCCTATGACGTTCTACGAATCAATCCAGTTTCCCCCCTCAGTTTCTGTGCACAGGACGAGTCCCATCACCCAAAAACTTTGAGAAAAAAATTGACGTCGTCTGCAATAAATCCAAGGGGACGTATTATGAAGGAGATGAAATATAACATTATGCTCCGACCACGTACAGGTCGGCCGGCTTATTATTTCTCCGAAGCTTCTTACTGAATAATTGATGGTTTACTTCTCACACGAAGAAACACCATAATTGCCAAGTCCTAGAGTCCAATGATAACCCGATGGGCGCCGCATGGGAAGGTGGCAGTTGCTGGGGATAAACGGTAAACTGGGCGGTCAAGAATAGTCGACGTTCGATATTCAAGCTAGGACATAAGATTGAAGCCTCGAGGCTTATTCATTGGGTTTCTGGTACGATATACCGGCAATATTCTCGCGAAACCCATCCCCGGTCAGGCTGGCAAAGCAACGATCCGCGCCCCCAACTTTCCTGGTAATGCGTTCAGGCGAACGGTGCGGAGCTAATTTTACTATGATATGTCTTTCTGCTATAAATGGCCCAGTAGAAATAGTTGGGAGGCCCACGATCCTTTCAACGCCGACCATCGACGGGACTAACCATTGATGAACGCTAATTTCTTCGTTCTAGCTCAATGTTCTCCATGTTAAATCCGAAGCTCGTTTCGTTCCCTCGTCTGCGGACGTCCGGCAATCACGCTTCAGGATTCTCATGTCATGAATCCGAGTTCCATCCAACTATTCTGAATGCCAGCACGTCTGGCGTACTCAGGTTGCCGCATTCTCGCTAGCGTCAGATAAAAAACTAACCCGCTCTTCATAGTCCGACGCCAAGTACAGATATCCGGATTCTAAGTCAGTTATTTTTGTCTGCCGGACCCATACTTCGTTCATGTAATTAACACTCGGCATCTGTATCACTTACGGGTTGCACGCAATCGCATGACGAAAGTTCTAAGGAGTTAGTTCTATCTATAAGTACGTAAACAGATGTGACTTGAACGATGCTGACGTTCACTCCTTAGATATCACATTATTGAGCAGGCCGGCACTCTAACATACCAGAACGCCAGGATTCAATGTGTCCAAACCCTCGTGTACCCCGCATCATATAATGGTTGCGTCGTACCATCTCGGGACCCCCTCAGTTTGCCATTACGAGGTACTTATCCTCAACGTCTTCGCACAATTGTCTCGGTAGCTTATCTGAAAAGTATCCATGGGACGTTTCTACACAGTATACTTTCATAGGGGCGACCTACGCGCTGGGTCCCGACCCATCTGGCCGTGTTCGTCCTACATCAGCTGCGCCGACACTACGATCCGACCCCCGGCATCCACCTTGACTAACGATCGTTTTGTGTCCTTTTAGCCGTGATAATATATTGCTCTCATTATACGAAGCTGATGGCACACGTTTTCGGTCTTCCTTTACTTCTGCAACAACCTTGTTTCGTGGAATGTTGGCGCGCGAATGCACAAACCAGGCTGATCTTTGTTTAGTCCACAGTTTGCCAGCTATCCTACCGAAATCAAGATGAGTCACAGTGCACCCGTTCTTTGCATTCTCACGTCGCCGTGCCAACTTATACTTCTCAAGATCTATGAACAATGACCTCCGAAACACTTCCTAAGGTGTGCTTAGCCGTCTCGCAGCATCGTTCTAGGCTGATGAGCGTGTTACCAGGGACGTTCTTCACGAAGAGGAGTACCGTTAGCCGGCTGGAGGATATGCCCGATTCCACGAACGTCGACGTTCCGAGCATAAGAGCCAGGCATCTAAACCATCATTTTTCCGGTCCCGTTCTGCTACGATATTGACGCTACCGAAGGTTGCGGCCTCCTGGTCAGCAGATGCTCCCGACGCTGTAAACTGTGACACCCTGCGCTGTACGTGCCTTTCTATTACAGTATGCGATGCCGTTAATTAGGAGTGACATTTTCATCCACTAGGTACAGCTGGCAACCATCTTGCCTCTTGGTGAAACGTGTACATGTGCGCCAGCCGGTTTTCGTCCGTTCAAGCCCTACATCGAGTTTAGTCCATCCTCGGGCAAAAAATTTGATACTTTGCTTATACATATTGGGACGTTCCTTTGTTTCACCAAGCTCTTTTTCCCCTTAATTGAGTGAAATTATCTGTAGTTTTGGACCGTCCTTCCTCCTTTCTTCATTTTCTACCCCCCGGGGGCCTCCGGCATGATTTATCATCTGAAAGTACACGGTGTCGCGAAAATATCTACGTTCTGACCTCGGGGTTGCCGGCCGATGCCTCATGTTCATCGTTATTTTTTTCTGTTCAAATGTCAGATGAGAGGATCCGGGGCAAACCGATGTCAGCGTTGCTATGGAGCATCCCATCAGGTATACAACTATTGGTGCTGACCCCCGCACGGAGAAGACAATGTGCTACTGATATTTGGTGTCTAGATTATGCATGTTCCGGGCACTAATGACCTAATGCTCTTTTCCTGTCGGCTATAGACTCAAGGGAAGAAACTGAGGCATTGGTAAGGCTAGGATACGCTTGCCCTTCAAACGAGGAGTATATACCCCAAGTCGAGCATGGAGAATAGGCTGCAAGTACAATTACCTATAGCAAATATTCCGCAGTCGTCGACTACATATCCATTTCGACTTCCTTGGATATCGACAGATATGACATGCATTGGCGACCAGCAATACAACCTAGCCGCTTCTTTTAACATTTAGATGTCGGACCGAAAGTATACATGCCCAAGGCCAATGGCGACCCGAGCTCGAGGACCGCGATAAAGCGTGGCAGTTTAGGGACGCCAAAACCGACTTGGAAAGTGCGTTCATCGTATCAGATATCGCGTATGAAACTCGTCCACGGCCGGACATTGTATTTGCCCATGCTGACTGGTAGCGGGAGATTTCGGTCAGGAGACGTAACCTTCAATGTCCCTTCTGCTCTTCCATACTCATCCGTAATTTCTTCAGGGTGGATATTCGCACTAGTCATCGGTGCCGAACTCTTTACGCCGTTTGCTGGGAGCAGAAAACGTCACGCGTAAGATATATATATTGCCTGGCAACGTTCCGGAAGATGGTCCTTTGCATTTCCCAGCAAAGGCGTCTCTACAGAAGCATGCGTACCCTAAACAAATATCCCAGGAAGTCACGGCTGATATTATCTGGTAGTGGTGAGTTCTCATTTCCGCATCCATGCAGTTCTCGTATTCTGACGCCAGAGTATAGAGACCGCTTTGCCATGGATTCCCTGCGAAGTTCGTGCCTAAGGAGGAAGGGTCGATGATAACCACTGGCCTCATTTCTCGGTGCTATTATCATGTCCTGTCATTTGGTAGATTAACATCGGACTATCGAAGGGAAAGCTCGCCCCCATGGGACCAAGATACAACAGGAAATGAGTATAATGATATTTATTCAAAAAGAGGTGAACATCTGATCATACAGCAACCGACCGGGCTGCATATCGCACGTATGGCAGTGCGCACGACTATGCACAAGATGCTGTGTACTTCTACGCTCAGCAACGGTATTCCAAGACCACTGTCTGGTCCAGTGGACACGGCAATGACGGGCTCCTGACTTGGCTTGGTGATTTCGTCCTCGAATTCCCGATCTTATTGACTAATTTCCTGTTCTTAGTACGTCCGCGTCGGACTCACAGCCTGCAGTTTCAGGTCGCGAACGAACATCCGAGTTCCTACGAGCCAGGACAATAATGAAAAGCTGTCCAGATCCCCCCCGATTCGACTTTTGCTGATAAGTACTTTTTGGGACATTTGGTGAGTGGGTTGCTGGGTATCCAAATTATCGTGCGAGGTGAGTCATTCGATGTCATAATGCAGAACGGGTTCGGGAAGGTGCTGGCTTCATGTCAAGGATATTGGTAATAATATTGCTGTTGCCTCCGAGACCGGACTCGATAGGGCGGAATGTGACTCGTGGAATTTCTCGGACCCGGGCGCTGTTATGTGCGCGTACAAAGCTATCACTTAAACACTCTCAGGACTATATATTCTCCTGACTAGAAGCGCAAGTTTATAGGGTCGAACTGATGCGAATTGACGGGAGTTGATACGAGAACCATTGTGCTGACAGAGGTATACAGAATGGCCTCAAGTCGATGAATTCAGCTTCAGCCGTATCTCTGACTACGAATACCAATATCTGAATAATCAAAGAATAAAAAAGAGTGGTGACCGTGTTATTACCCATATGCCGGAGCAAAGTTCAGAGAAGACAGTGATGCGCCAGCGGCGGCCCATTCAACGGTTCCTGCAAGCACATGGAATCGAATCCTGAAAGTGTAGATCCTAGGGGTGATGAATATGGATCCCTTCCCTTAGAATTGAAGGCCGGGCTGTAGAACAGCGGCCGACCTCGATGCCAATATGATTTGCCCCACGACCTGGATGTTCGAGACCGATCGTTGGCGTTAGACCCTCGGGCCGATATGTCCCACAGACATTGTATAATGTTCTGCTTGGCAATTGGGAAGCAGCAGAAGCCTGCAAGTGGCGGCATCCCCATCGAGAACTACATTTCATCAAATCGTTAGCATTATTCCCCCAATATGCATTTGGGGATCTCTGACTTGGTAGGAATGGCCCGATACCGAGGTCACAGTGGACCATCAGGTGGTTCCTTGTTGAACACTGTCCCAGATAAGCGATGGCTTCGAATGGTAAGCGTGCCAGGAAGATTGCGAAAAAAGATTGAAATACGGAAGCAGGAGAGGAAAACAACCACAAATATCTGCTCTTCATCACTGACAGCTGCTTCAGGTCTTCCAAATAATACAGAAGCGAAGAATACCGCTCACTTCGGTATGTCTCCTCGTTCCATGTCATGGCACCGTTCTTGGGAGATGAGGCATGCATTGTTCTAGGCACGGAGGAGCTGTTTTTTGCGGTTAGTCTCGATTTGAGGTGCGTTTCGAAATTATACGTCCCGCCAACCTACTTGCTAAAATCTTGGTGTTCACATATTTCAGGCGTTCGATCGTATAGTCCAAGAACTGAGCTATTCCACGACTGGGGATGAGCCAGCAACCCAATATTCCTCAAGAGGTCATCGATTTTCACATCATCGGCAGACTATCCCGGGACCATAGGGCGTTGAGAGCTTGCGCCCTGGTCTGTCGTGCATGGCGCGTTCCCGCTCAAAGCCGTCTCTTTTTCCACGTCGAACTCGGCTGCCCACTAGAATCGGATATACCGAATTGCGGTAAATTTCGTCGCATCCTACAATACTCCCCTTCTCTCGCGCTCTACGTTCGAAGTGTCGAGCTGGCTGATGGAAGGGGTAGCGGGAAATGGATGACCAGCTCAAAGCCGAGTTTATCCGCAATACTTCCCCAGCTCGTCAACCTGATAAAAGTCGAGGTTAGGTTCAATTCATTGGAAACTTCGTGGCGCGACGTCTCCACCTTACAAGACCCCCTTCGTCGACTCTTCCAGCAGCCGCACGTCGAAGGGATTGTCTTACGTGGACTTTCCAAGTTGCCTGACTGGGACGCGCTTTTCGGAATGTTGACAGGCTGTCGTGCCGGCCACGTTAGACTGTATCACGTCACTCTTGATCCGCACACAAGGTCGTCTCGTCGTCGGAACGGTCCCGCAATTCGACGCCCCAGATGCACCATTGGTACGTTCGACGTAAACCTCACCGCCGACGAAATGGAGGATTTCGCATTTTGGGCGAATAATCCTAGATCGTGTATGGATATCTCTGGTCTCCGAAGATTCTGTTATTATGGTTTAGCAGTGGAGGAGTTTGCAACGTGCAACAACGTACTCAATGCGGCTGCCTTCAGTTCGCTGGATACTTTCGAACTGCGAATCGAGGATCTTTATGGTACGTTCTTCTGTTCCTCAGATTTTTTCATCCTTGGTCAAATTTTCTTGATTGTAGCCTTCATGACCGCACCCAGTTTTGTGCCACTCGCTATAAGTCGCCTGCGCCACTTTCAGATCACCTTGGAGGATGCTTTCCAAGACCGGGCAAGGGTGTTGTGCAACTTGGTACAGTGGTGTACCCGGATCTTCGAGAATGCAGGGCAGAACACCATAGAGGCGGTGACCCTGTCATTCGCGCAGTGGGGAACCGAGCGTCGGGATTTAGATCAGCAGTTGGCCGCATGGAACGCTCTCGATGCGATGCTGATGCGTCCTCACATGCACGGCCTTCGTCACGTTACTCTCCTCTCTGATAGCGAGTTCGCGGATTATCGGAGAGCGGCACAGGCTTTTTTGAGATCTAGAGCGGATGCTATGTTCCCACTGCTTAGGGCTAGGGGAGCATTACGCGTCGTATGAGGTATGTCATCTTTGATCATCGTAGAAGAAGATGCTGATTCTGTCCGATTTAGGATCAGGCTCGTGTTATACACGCTGGAAACCTCGGATTGTATCTGTTTACCGATGTATCATTCAATGCCGGACAACATCTATATCAGAAACTGTTCATATGTACATGTAGAAACGAGGTCGTTACGCCGGGGGAAGGAAGTCTGCTTCGATTTAAATGTACTACTTTATTTGGTTTGGGAATAATTATATTTCTGTATATATTACTTACTGCATCTCCTTTTTCCTTTCCAACTCGATCCAAGACTTCGTTCGAACTCTATATCTAGCGCTAGTCAAGCGGTCGTTAGGGTATAACGGGGTAAAAGCTCTGTTGCTTTTAATCGCTGCAACGCTTGCTTGTTCAGCACTAAGAAAGAACTTGCGAAGATATGTATGTAGGTAGGTAGAATTACCATCGCTGACTGACGACATCATCTAAATAATTTCAACTGTGCCAGGTTCAGAGATATACCTAGGCCAAATCAGATCAAGTGAGAAGCAGAAGACGACTGAAGGTGAACCCAGGCCACCAAGCAAGATGCGCATGGACTCCTATAGAGCTACCTTGTTAGAAGAACCCAGTGGCTAACTAAAAGGTCCGTCTTCGTTGTGGCTAGAATACCAAAAACTCCTGTAGCCAAGTGGGGAAACCTGAAGGTTTTTATCATGCACTTCAGGGCTACGATGAATTCGTAGTAATTGAAAAGACTAGAGAATGTGAGGGAGGGGTTTGATAAAAAGGGTACTATGGTCCTGGGAATCAAGCCTCCGTAAGAGATTTTAGGTCAGTAGGATCTGGGCTGTAATTCCTTGACAGATGATTGTTATCATAATGAGACTTGCCCTACCGGATTGCAGGGTCTGGACCTCGGTAATTATAGCGGAAATACAGCGCATAAGGCAGCATAAACGGGATCGTCCGTGCTGTAGACGGGCAACTCTGCTCGTCAGAAATGTATATGCAACGGCTCAAGGAAGGAGGCAGAGAAATCATCATTACCGGTGCAAGGTCCCACATCATGTACCAATTAGAAATGGTTGCATTCAAGAAACCTAGTTTATGAAGGCTCCTTTATCGTGTTGAGTACTTTCACCGGTCACCGGTTGATATGAGGTGCAAATGGGGCCATGAATCATGAGAGGCGTTAGAAAGCCGGGCCAGAGGAAGAGAGCTTAGCAAATGGTTCAGACTGCGAGGTGGTGAACTAATTTGCTCCAGTCAAAATGAAATCAAAATCCCGGACGTTCCATTTTGGCTTGTGCAAATCCACCGCCACCCGCAGTGTATGGCGGTCTTCAGAGGTGAAAGCCGGGTCACGTGATGGCGACAGATCGCTTTCTTCTTTTGTCACTGTTCAGTCAATGCCGGGGACTGTTGCTTTGCTGCCACTGTCATCTCATTTAGATGCAATGGCTTCCTCAAGGCCTTTGCAATACAGCCATGACAGAGACTACAGAAAGCTGACACTTGGATTATGTCCCTCAGAATTGTGAAGGATCAGGAATTTGCAAAGTGAGCTGCAAAATGCTTATATCTGAAATACCATAAGTATTTACTTTTCAGCCAGACCAAGGCCCATGAGCTACATATCATCTACCATGATCTGTTAACCTCAGCAGCATTGCACTAGTGCATCAACTCATTTTGGCATTGCAATCATGGTAATGAGTGACCATGATGCTGGATTACTTCAAAATCCAAGGCTGCATTTTCCTGTTTATAAATCTTCACTTGCTTGCATCCATTATCATGAATCTTATTCTTTTCTCAGATGTAATGTCTTATTTGCACTGGTGGCATTGCTTTAGTACTCTGAAGACAAGAGAATGCTGATGGAATCTGTGGATATGGATATCACAATGATTATCAGAATTATATCATTATATGTATAGGTGCATGACATACTTGGGTTTTTGGATACAATATTAACATTACAACCCAGATACCATGCAGTGTCTTACATCTGGCCTTTGGAGTCTATGTAGTGTGAAAATGCCTGTGTAAGGCTGTTTTAGCTGAAAATGAACAAGTGTCATAATAAGGGTATTTTGCTTGTGGATAGCAAAGTTGTCATGCCATTGTAGCTATTTGATTGATATGATGAGGGTAGAAAGAGAGAGCTATCAACAGAGACTTCTCTGAGTATATAAGTGAATAAAATCAGAGCTTTAGAGATTGATGGCATTAGGCTGTATGAGGAATCTTTCAAATCCCAATAAATAATGGACAAATCTTGAAAATGATACATGAACTCACCAAATCAATATAATAGCATGCAGCTAATGTTCATTCACCTCCAATAATTGGTCAACAGACTATGATTTTGAACATCTGTATAGGCAAAAGAGCTGCAACACCCTCAAGATATCCTCTATGATAACTCCACTTTCACTATTGCCATGCCATATCATTTGTACAGTATGATCTAACTTTCTATACAGTCATCTATGGTGGCCTAGTACATATGTATTAGAGACAAAGAACCATCATGAAGACATGCTGAACATATAAAACACAAGACTTGGTTATATCAATAGCTGCTATGTGAATATGCTTACATATATCATATATAGCTATATGATCTCAGAAACTTTACTATAGCCAAGTATAGCATAGCATTGAATAATTTCTTTAATATTTATTCTATATTTCCACTATATATCTAGTGTTGCCTATTTGAGACTTAGAGCAAACACTGATGCAAAATCCATGCATTCTATGATTTCAAACAAGGCTATAGTATTGATGGCTTTAGCACCATAAGCTATTTATATATATTTACTATTTTTATCTTATCCTGTGATATTTTGTATCTATTCTTACTTGACTCTAAACTCCTACTGTTGCTATATTATTCAGTGGAATGTATACCTTCTCTCAAGTCTATTATGCTCTCCTTCTGAACTATCAGCATCTAAACTCCAACAGGTTATAGGCTTTGAGCCTCTTTAACTTCTATTACTCACTTTCTTGGTCTTGACTTCTATTTCACTCACTTATTATCTCTCTTGTGCTTGCTATCAGTAGTGCTGTATAGTATTTTTCATACTTATTCATACCTTATTTGTCAAGGATTCAGCCATATATCTATTGATCAGGTTATCAGTCTGTTTGTTCTAAATTTACTTATAAGTTTATATATTTCTGCTTGATCATTTTCATACTTACTTCTGTCTATTTTTCTTCTGTTCACATCTCAGTCATTTATCACCATTACAAGTGAAGACTGAGATTGTTGTTTATTGACAGATTATGCAGCCCTATTGCCTTACTCTGTAGATTTAGATTTTTACAACAAGCACTCATATCTAATCCAAAGACTCAATCCAAGTGGCAACCTCTTGGACCTAACTTTGGCCCTTGTATTGACTTTAGAAAAATTTTCTTTGAAACTCTTATCTTCTATAAAATTTTTCTGATATGTTGTCAGGAAATGCTTTCTCAACCCAAATCCTACTGTTCAAACTCAATGAAAATGAGAAATCTAACAGAGAAAACTGGACTGCATTTGAAATGGTAATAGCTGAAGGAGAATCATGAGGATTAGTCAACTACTGGAAAAATTATATAATAGTATCAGGACCCTCTCTGTTACCTACTCAAACTACTGGCCTCACCAGTCTTATTTCCAATAAATATCAATACATATAAAGAGAGAGCTGTGCTCTTTTTTCTATTATTCACAATATGACAGATGTCTTCAGCTTTAGACTCAACACTTGAAGTACATCTTATGTGGCCTGAACAAAACTGAAGACACAATATGGTGCTTATTCAGATCTTGTATAAAACTATCAGCAGAAAATCCTTCAAGCAAATGTCTATAAAAAAGAGGACAAGGTATCTTGTGATGGAGATCATATTGAAAAGATGAGATGCTTACTGAGAAAAGCTAATAATACAGGGGCCACCATGAGAAAAGAGACATTTACTATCATCCTCCTCAATTCCTTCTCTGAATTATGAAATTCTGTCATCAGTATTTTACATGATGAAATGGACTTGACAGTTGTTATTGCTCATCTTACTGCATGTGGAGAAAGGTTAGCTGGAAGGAGAAAGATAGCTGGCACAGCTATCTTGAACCAGGCTCTTTAAGTCTCAATCAATTCACTAGCACTACAGGTTTAAGGCTTGTCAAGCAGAAAGGAGACAAAGCCAAGTAATGAGAAATTACATGCAGCAAATGAGCACTATAAAGATATTGGCTATACTATTAATGAGTGCTGGAAAATCAGAGAAGGGAAATAAGACCAATACCCTATCATGATGGAAGAGAAAATAGAATATTCAATTGCCAACTGTAAATCTCACTCAATTCACAAACTCAGACACAGATGTAATAACTAATGTTTTTGTATTAAATGAGACCTTAGGAGAAGATGTCAAGAGGATGATTGATGACCAAATCCAACATGCTGAAAAGACATAGATGGCTAAAGACATAAATGTATTAGACTTGTCAAAACTTTTCAGTGATTCTGGAGCTAGTACCCACTTTGTGAAAGAGAGAGTTGTTTTCTCAGTCTATATTCCACTCACAAACATTGCCAGTGGTTTGTCAAAAGATGGTGTAACCTTTAAGATCAAATAAATAGGGATCATAGCAATAAAAATGTCAATGAACAGGATTGAAAATGTGATAAAACTCTAAAGGACTCTTTATTGCTCAAATATTTCAGCAAACTTGATTTTGGTCAGTTGACTGGACAAGAATGGGTGGAAAGTCATATATAGAGAGAGTAAAGTAATGTTCATTGATCTAAATAGCATTCTCCAATTTGATAGTGCACTTGTTGGAAATTTGTACTCTATAAATAGTATTCTGATCTATCAGGATTCTCATATCACTTTAACAGTGTGGTCCTTTAATATTGCAACCCCTTTAAAAGTGTGGCATATGTATTTTGTCTATCACAGTGTGGATTATATCAAAGACATGATATGAAAGGATCTAGTCAATAGGTTAAACATAAACCTGGCCTAAAGCTCTCAGAGAAGTGTGAATCTTGTATCTTGGAGGATTAAAAATAGAGGCCGTTTGATATGATGGTTGTTTCAGCAAGCCAAGTCCTTGAATTAGTTGCCATAGATATCTGGAGTCCAGCCAGAGTTCAATCAATTGGTGGTACAAAATATGCCATAGGCTTCACAGACAATGTGTCTTCTAGATGTGGAGTATTTTTCCTTCAAAATAGAAGGTCTGAAATGACTCTATCAGCTCTTGACTCATATACCACAGTTGCTGAGTGACAAACCAGCCAGAAGTTGAAGAGGATCCACTATGATAATGAATTTGACTATCAATTATAGCAAGACTGAATAGCTGCCAGAGGGAGTCTTAATTGAACCAATGGCTTCATACTCTTCTGCTGCCAATAGAATGGCAGAGAGAACCTTCAGAATTATTTTCAGT